CGAATCTTACCGCGCTGAGTATCCAAAACGAAAGTCTACTAAATCAGATGAGTGTTGTGGGAATGATCCGATGGAATTCGAAAAAATATTTTCCTTCCGATCAAGAAATGCTGTTCCCTGAGTTCTAGGGATATTTCGCACAAACATATTTATATAATGTTTTACAATACTCTAAATGTTACAAAAAATGAGGACGTGAAGTTTGTTCTTTAATCATGTTAACGGATTTATTTTATTCATTGGTTTCAGGAAAACCTGATGTAAGTGTGGGAGTGACTGACTGTGAACCATGTCTAACCATGCCTTGTAAAAACACAGGAAAATGTCTAGAGACCAACGAGGCTCCTGGTTTTGTCTGTAACTGTAGATCAGGATTCAATGGTCTAACGTGTCAGGAATTCGGGGAGCGGTGTTTTCCTGGCGCGTGTAAGAATGGACGGTGTGTGAACTTGGAGGATGGGGGTTTGAAATGTATATGTCCCGTAGGATACACAGGGAAGAGATGCGAAGAAGGTAAATCAAAATTAACTTATGATTCGAATAAAAAACTATATATGCCTTATTGAATGTCCGTTTTTAACATAAACATGCAACCTGGTGACGTATACCTACTGAACCAACTAACCAGACTATCGCCAAACAGGGAAAGAAACTTTGCATAGCAACAGCTTTCAACGGGAAAGCGAAATCCTCCGTGGCCTCAAACCTGATAAAACACTCCTGTTCGTTTTTTGAAACAGAATCCTTTGTTTTCTATTGTTTAATTATCACTATTTAGTGCTAAAAATTAGTATTTGTTTCACGGATTTAGTGTGAGCACTCTACCATAAGGACAGCCTATTGTAAATTGCATAAATAAAGACAGTATATTTTTAATATATGCATATCAATCTCTGCATATAGACACCTTTTAAAGTATCACTATTTTCAGATGTAGGATGTAGCAAATACAGTTGTAACGTCACTTGCTTGTTAATAGTATAGCATTCATCGTGAGGTAACTACGTTGTAACAATGAGTGGACTTTTTGCTTTAAGGTACAAAGATCGAAACACCGATGTTTGAAGAGACATCCTTCATGTCTTACCCAGCAATCCAAGGGGCCCTATTAGAAACTAAATTGAGCATGCGCTTTATGGTACACGAAGATGGCAACATGCTACTGTTATACAATGGTCAGCAGGTTTATCCTACTCGAGGTGATTTCATATTATTGGCTGTGGTCGACGGTAAACTGGAATTCCGATTCGACTTAGGCTACGGGGCCGCAGTAATACAAAGCAAGAATAACATAACCACTGGACATTGGCATACAGTCGTAGCTGAAAGATTTTATCGTGACGGCTCTATGATCTTGGATTCAGAGCCAGCGGTGAAGGGAAAAGCGCCGTGCTGTGGTGTTGGTCTTAATCTAGCACTGCCTCTTTATATTGGTGGACTGCCAAACATGACTACAGATGCCACCAAGAGACTCGAGGTGGATAAAGGTTTAATAGGCTGTGTTTCCGACTTGTCTATCGACGACAATGAAATTGACTTGGTGAATTCTTATGTTGAGATGAGGAGTATTAAGCAGTGTAAAGCCTGCCTCCTTCCTTGTCAGGTGAAACCTTGTATGAACAATGCTACATGTGAGCCGCAAGGACAGACAGCTTACATATGTATCTGCTCTCCAGGCTACACAGGAAAGAATTGCGAGTTTCCTCTGGTAGGGCCTGGAAAAAACCGTACTTGTCTTAATGGGGGATTACCCTTTCCTCCAACGGGAAGAGTTTGTGATTGTCCCATAGGATATGGAGGGACGCGTTGTGAGAGTGGTAAGTTAACATGCATTTTCAACTAACATGCATTTTCTGGGTTAAACGCACCCCAGCAACACGTCTGTTGTTGCTGTCTATTTCTATGTCTAATTTTTATGCAACAACGACTTGGTGAGTTTTCATCGCGAATTCTAAAAAAAAAACTGTCCTTTTTTTCACGAGGGTAACACTTAATAGCCAATGGCTAACAAACCTGTGGCCCTCATTCCATGATCGAATTGGAATTTAGGAGTTGATTTTTGTGGAGGGAGGAAAACCGGAGAACCCGGAAAACCCTCGAAGCACAGTAGAAGAGAACCAACAAACAACTCTACTCAAATACAACACCGAACCCGGTTGGACTCGAACTCGGGTCGCATTGATGAGAGGCGAGCGCTCACACCGCTACGCCACCCGTGCTTCCCAAAATTCTAAATGTATCTGCGTAGGATTTACATGCATTCTGCTCTCAGATGTATGTATGTGCATATATTGATGCAAAAATTTAAAATGATTGTTTACGAAAGTAAATTAGCTTAGGGTTGGCTATATTCTTTTTCTCCAGTTTCATATTGTTCTTTTTTTTTTTTTCTTTGTTCTAGTCGTCCAGTTACAAGACACCATTTCTTTCTCTGGAGACGGTTACGTACAATATCTAAATTCTATCATGAAGCGAAAGTAAGACCTCGTCGATATAAAAAGTCATAGGCCTTGAAATGAGGCCAAAACAATTATTCTCTGGCGAGACAATGTTTAATAATAAAATAATAATAATAATAATAAACTCTTTATTTACAGTAAAGAGGATAGCACGGAATAGTTACAAAATAACTAATAGAGTGCATTCAGTCAAACTGTTGAATAGTGTACGTCACTTAAATTAGATCAAAGTTAGTTACTATTTTAGCTGACGTCACCTAAATTTGAAACTACGAGTAAACTTCTATTGAGATCAGGGGGAGAAACGATGGTGCAAATGAATGTCTTTTCACTCATTCTCTGGTAAAACAACCCCGGATTAGCATGACCGTTATTTGGCGCGCTTTTACTATTTTAGGTGACGTCAACTCAATAGTTATCTAAGTTAGATACATTTATCTAACTATTCAACAATTTGACTGAATGCACTCTAAGTTAGTGGCCCTCTAAAATAACCCTTGTCATTTCCTGTTATTAATATATGATGATTCAAGATGTGTGATCATTCAATTGCTTATTTACAGATTAAGGAAGCTGGAGACGATAACATTGAGATTTAAGACGAGTTCACGAAACGGGCTCATTTTTTGGCAAGGACAGGTTAGCAACAAGGAGATCAGTATATGATACACCATTGTCGTGCCGAGACTTCATTAAGTGCGGACTCTTAAAGCCAATCAGACATTTGAAATTAAACATAGTGTTTAAATTTCCTTTATAGAAAATTGGTGCATCAAAAGGCGATTATAATTCACTAGGGTTACGAAATGGGTATCTTGAATACAGGTAAGACATTAACCTTTGCTTACATACTGATCGCATATAGAAAATGGGGCTACATTTTACTGCGGCTTGCAGACTGTCATTATTACGGAAAATGAAAAATTATGATATTGCAAGTTCACAATAAATTCACACATTTATATAATCATAATCCAAATTGTTTGGCCTACACCCTCCCATGCATATTACTTATTGCGTTGCCCCAAAACATATTTGTTATAGCTAGGGTTTTCTTCTTTTGACAGTTTTGATTTAGGGGCGGGTCCTGCTTTACTGGTATCTCGCCGCCAACTGGATGATGGGAAATGGCATTACGTGAAGATGTTCAGGTCAGCTATATACATTTTCAATTTCCTATTCTTTCGCAAAACTTTGAACTTCAAAAATAATCTGATCAAGCCGGGCAAGTAATGGCTATGAAAGCAGATGAAACCATCTTTTTTATCGAAGCCGAACGAACTCATTCATTTTTATTTTATTTTCATGACAGGCAAAGTGAAAAAGGTGTACTGATAGTCGATAACGACGAGATGGTAAATGGAACTTCATCAGAAGGAGCAAGGAGTTTGAACAGCCCTGGACCGATATTCCTAGGTAAGTAAAGACTTAAATATAATGAAAATCAAAATATTTGGTAAACCGAGAGGAAAGCAAATACTGGGAAAGAAGCCTTCAGCTTATATTGTGCTGAATACTGGATTCGGGGGAAACGTTGCTATACTTACTCAGCAATAACATTATAAATGAAGTACTGACGGACTATGTAGCCCAAGAAAGAATCCAACCTCTTTGCAAAAAAACTGTATCACGTGTTAGATCCTTCTGCCATAATAATGAACGCGCAAATAAGTTCGGATAAAGAGCTCATTGTTGCAAAACCGGCTTTTCCAATGACATATAATCATATAATTAAACATCAAACTTGTTTAATAACTTCAGGCGGTGGCGAAGACATCACCAGCCTTACATTTGGACGATTYAGTTATAATTACAAGGGATGTATAGGAGGACTTTATTTGCAGTCAAGAGCCGTCAAGCTACAAAAAGATGCAGCAAAAGGATACAATGTTTTACCGTGCGAAACTGAAGACGACTATACCTGATAAGATCTGTCACACGACTAATATCACTTTATTCTGCATGCGCTGAATTCTTTACTACCTACAGGGATATATTATATAATAAACGTACCTTTTGGTGATATCGAAAACAGACTAAAGCATTTACATACTTCATTCTATAACACTAATCACAGGTTTCTTACTTAAAGCTAGAGATTTTGGTGTGGTGATAACCTCGGGGCGAAAGGAAAAAATATCATAGATTACTAGATAAGGAATAATCTTTTTTTCATTTAAAGTATACTGAAAATAAAATTAATTAAAGAACTATAATTCATTTGCACAATCTGTTCTTCAATTGTCTGTTTAACTAAAACATCTTCCATAAGTGAAGAACTGAGTCTGATCCTTAGGTTACCCGGATCCTGAGAGGGAAATGCATAAATTTTGAAGAAGGCAGCGAGAGTCGAGAATTGAAGTCTAAAAAAACTTCGATCCCTGAAAAACAACCTTTGTGTTATCTAAGTCAGGGCACGGCTAATCCACAAATCAAACCTTGGAGGATACAACTCTGGGCTGACTCACAGATTGAACCCTGAAACACCCTTTGTGCTGATCTTAGTCAGGGTGCGTCTAATCCACAGATCGTACCCTCAAACAATCTTTGTGCTGATCTAAGTCAGGGTGCGTCTAATCCACAGATCGTACCCTAATTTTTGTGGCTAATCCATAAGAAAGAAATAAGAAAGAAATTTCGCCAAGCATTTTGGTTGTGGAAGTCAAATGACGTCATCATGCAAACGTGCTATACCGGATCTTCCTTTAGTGGAGATTAGTTCTGCTTTGCATCTAGAGTATAGGGCATTGTAAGACCAAGTACAAAAATAGAACAGGGAAATCAAATGAACTATCAGAAAAAAAGAATTTTTTAGTTGAAATACCTGACCAAATACGAAGTTCTGATTCATTGTTGAGCGTATGAGTACAATAAAACGTTGTTTTGAATTCAAATCTGTTTAAAATCGAATGTAAGCCCTCTCCTCTTTGTGAATGTAGTGATGGTTCAGTTGAATCAGCTTGCCACTATTTCTTACACTGCTCTCGAAATGCCGCTCATCGTACAGCCCTTTTGTCAGTTTCCGCACAGCTTTTTGTAAACGATACCACCGATAAACAAAAGGTTGATTACTTTTTGAACGGATGTCCCAATTTAACTGTTTCTAATAATCTTAAATTGTTTCTAGTAGTGCAAAAATATATCATTGATACAAAAAGGTTTACGAAAGATTAATTATGCATTTATAAGAAAAATTCTTTATAATCTCACTACTATATTGCTATACATAATTCACAATTTATATTATTGTTAATAACTTATAATTATTGTAACTTTGTTTAACTTTACCTGTATCCTAATTAATTTGTTAGCATAGTTTTTTTTGTTAGTTTTTTTTTTCTTCTTTTTTTTTGTGCGTGTGTGTTTGTACTCCACATCCAAATGTGTACATCTTTTATTAAGTGAACTCCCTAGATGAGCTCGAATGAGAGCTCTTGGAGCAAACTTAAAGAATTTATATGTTTAAATAATAATAATAATAATAATAATAATAATAATAAAACGTCTGTGATTGGTTGAAATCCCTGAATTATATAACAAGAACTGATTTGATTGGCCATCCGCTTTTTTCTTTATGTGAATCAAAATTTAGCATAAAATGTTGTAGGTCGGACCCGTGAAAAAAAATTCGACAGAGAGCAACTGGGACCGGCATTTGGAATCGGTACATGCTTTCTAACTATGTCTTAAACATTTCGAGATGATTTTTGGTCTGCGGTTGCTTCGTACCACTATTACGTAAGGTGTGTCGTGCGCGCGCCGTCTTCTTTGGAGTGTCGTCTTTGCTAGCACTTCATTTGGGGCTTTTAGCTGCCCTCRCACGAAAAACCGTTATTTAGCTTTGGCTTACAAATATTCTTTTTAAGAGATGTTTGACTTCAGTGTGTTTATTGCGGGAAGTGTTCGTTTGTTTTGTATGTTCATTCACTGTCATTTCCTCAGGCTTATTGGCTGAACAAGGACCAAATCTTTACGCATGGAGATTTTTTTGTAATTGAATGCCTTTACAAATCAATTAATCCCAAATATTAAGATAATATAACTGAATTATCTGCCCAATAGAGACTGTTCTGACACAATGGCGAACACTTGGACTGAAAACTGTTATTTCCCCGTCTTGGCAGAGACCAACGAGGCAAATAAATCCTAGCCTAAACAAAGCAATAATCACGCTTATCGCAATACTAAACGCTAGTTCTAGACAAGGGGTTTAATTGTCATCAATTTGTAATTGACTCTAATTGAAAATAGAATCATGTGGTCAAACAAAGAGCGTTTTGTGACACAAGCAATTTATGTAGTCACATGAATGTGCTTGCCTAGCTTCTTCAGTCTGTACAATGGAGCATCAAAAATACATCCAAAAACAGGAGGTTTGAGGGTTGGTAAATGACATTCGAAGGAGAAGTATTCAAATAATGCACAAGATACAATGGGTCTTTCTGTTAACCTGCTTTTCTTCTCTCTGGATCAAGAAATGTTGGGCCAACAACAGCAAAGGTAGCACTCACTTATCAATAAAGTTTTCTAATGATAATAATGATAACATGCCAATGTTTTACTAGTATATGCTCAATATACAGAAAGTCGGAAAAGATTGAAAATGATCACCAAAAAATGAGAATACTTTTGAATTAGATATGCTAATGTATATGATGGTAGACAGGTCAACTGAATGCATTATATGACCACTTCAACTTGTGCTCTTTTTTATTCTAGTTCCATATTTGGTTCCCGTGAAGTGGAATGACAGGACAGACTGGAAACAGGCTGTCCTTCTCACAGAGACACAGTTCAAGGTGATAATTCAACTCAAAAACAACCAAGAACAGCAATTACAATTCTCTAAGCACGAGGTTGCTTTGGATAAGCTAACAAAAGAAGAAGACATCATAATCGGGATGGAGGTTCTGGTAAAACTTGGCGTTGATAATAAACAAATACCATTCTATGCTACAGGAACAATCGTTGGCCAATTACGTCTTTCTCAGTATAACGTGACTCTAAGTAAGTCGTCATCATGTATCATTCAAAATTTTGTTATACCTTTTTGGCCGTAAATTAATGTAATTATTTTAATAAAGTTAATAATCTATAGATATTATTCGGTAGTATTGGTAGGTATACATTACTTGGACCGCTTAATTTGTGATGAACTTGAGATCCAATACTGTCCCATAAAAGAGCATCATTTGTTTCAGGTTGTCGAATAAAAGCCATGCCACTTGGCGTTGGCGAGAAATTGTCTAACAGTAGAGTAAAGAAGATCGAAGATAACATGATGACAGCTTCCAGTACATACAACGAACAATTTAATGCCAGCATGGGAAGACTCGGTAATAATCAGGTAATGCATGTATAATATGATAATATTATTCATTATTTAACAACAACAACAACAACAACAACAA